GGCCGACGCTCTAACCACTGAGCCAAACCAGCCAGGCCCCTCCCCCCCGAAATTAAATCTGCAAAACAAATTAGTGACGCTGTGTGCCTAAGGAAATTTATTTTAGGTATTTCTGTTCCCTAAGGAACATTTCTTTATTTGCTATTCTGCCTGAAGAAAAGAAAAACAAATTTAACAAAATCATGAAAAAACAAAACCAGAAAACTCTGCAATTGCTCCTCTTCAGCCTCTACTTCTCATCCGTCCCTCTATGCGGGTGTTATTCCTTCTGCCAGGACCGCCCTTTCTCCTGATGAGGGCCCCTGTAATGTCACACGCAGCCTGGTGCTTCCCCCCACCTTCCTCATCTCCCCAGCACAGCGGACGCGCCCCGTCTATCAGTACAGGGCCCCACGCCCATCAGCACAGCCTCCTGTCGCCCTGGGGTGAAGCAGAATTTCCTCCGAGGTGCAGTCTGTTTCTCCCACCACCCTGAGAGTTGCCCATTCATCTGCATGGGCCCGGTGTGCCTGGTACTTCGGAGGTGCCGGATACCTGTGGGACAGAAAACCCAAGTTCCAGCTGGGCTGTGAGGCCTCAAGAAGACAGATGGTAACTGGTAAACTCTGAAAAGTTAATTCACTGATATGATGACCTTCCTGAACGACAAAGCAACAAGAAATGGTGGGAGGTGATCTGCAAGCTCTGATTATTTTGTTTAATGCACAGTTTTTCTGAAATGAAGTCCTCTTCCACCATGCCCTTGCTCAATGGATCTGGGATGTCACTGGCCCTAGAGAGTTCTACTAATTTATAAAAACTCCTGTTCCTTCCATCTGCAAAAGCAGCCTCAAGGACATTAGAACTACTTCATCTCTCAATAGCTAAAGATCAAATTTGGAACTAGCATACGTGTCCCTGTTCCAATTATTTCTCCCAATGACATCCTACCGTTAGAGACGCACTTCCATTTCCATGACTGCTGGTCTGTCGCATGCACCCCAACAGAACTCTGTAACCCGCAAGGTCACTTAGCCAATCAATGCGGGGCTTGGCCTGGAACCCCAGCCGTCTGACTTCAGAGTCTGCACTGAGACACACCACAAGGCTGCTCCACTAGTGGACTGTGGTGGGGTGGAGACCTTCAGACTTGATGTGAAATACAGGAATTTCTACCAGTGACACCAAACTGTGGGCCAGAAAACTCATTAGCGAGAAAGAAATGCACAGGCAACCAGAGCACACGTCTTGAAACAAAGACCTGGGAGGAAATGTGTGACAAAGGGCAGTTATCATGTACCCAGACAGTGAACACAGGAACCGTAAATATTTGTACACCCGTGTCCACAAATACATTCTTCACAACAGTGGACAGGTGGCAGCAACCCAAATGTCCACTGATGATAAATGGAAAGCAAAATGTGGTCCATCCACACAATGGAATACTGTTCAGTCTAAAAAGTAGTAAAATTTTGACACAGGTTACAACATGAATGAGTTGAGGACATTATACTAAGTGAAATAAGCCAGACACAAAAGGACAAATACCTCATGATTCCACCTATATGAGGCACCTACAGTAACCAAATTATAGATAGAGATAGAAAGTAGAATAGTCACTGCCAAGGGCTAGGGGGAGGGGAGGATGAGGAGTTAGTATTTAATGGGCAGTTTCAGGACAGGATGATAAAACACGTCTTGGAGATGGATTGTGATTTTATAACAGTGTGAATGTACTTAATGGCACAGAACTGTATACTTATAAATGGTTAAAGTGGTGAATTTTATGTTATATATTTGATAACACAATTCTTCTAAAGTAGTTATATACCAGCTACAGTGTGGGACAGGAGGAGAAACACTGGCCTTGAAGTCTGGCATCTGCCATGAGGAAATGGATCGCCTCAGTCTGATCTGTAAAATACAGAGGCATCTGTATCCTCGGGGTCACTACGAAGGTAAATAAGAAAACACCCATCACAACACCTGCTCTGAGTAAGCACTTCACTGGTTTTTGAACATCACTGATATGTTAGAAAGTCTGGAGAAAGAAACTAGGGCCAAAGCTGTGCCCAGGCAGGAGGAGCGGCCAGTCCTTGAGGAAGGGGGTTTCTGTGCCCTGACAGCGGAGGCGCCCCTGAGGGCGCACACCAGGCCCCACCCAGCCACTCACGCGCTGTACTGACTGGAGAAGTCCCTTCACCCCACTGGGCCTCCAGTTTCCACCAGAAAAGCAGGGACAACACCTGCCCTGTCTGCCAGAGGAACCGGGGAGGAACAATGGGATGTACAGCTGAGGAACAAATTCAGCGGAGGAAATGTGAAGATCTCACTGGCTTTCTTAAGCACCCCATCTAACAACCAGAAGGGCACACGGAGGGACTGCACAAAATGGAAGGTTTTTATGGGCAAGAAAATTAAAGAAGTTAATTGTTTCAGGCAAGGTCGTAGGGGTCGTAGAGGGTCTTATCAGGCAGGAGACCTCACTAGTGCTGACCAGGGAATTCCAGATGGACTGGACTAGAATTCTGTTCCTGGGAGAGGCTGACACTGCAGTTAGGTTAGGAATTCTGTCTCAGTGGGGCCTAGCAAAAGTGAGTCCATTTTGGATCTGTTGTTTCTTTGTAATAATACTAAAGGCATATGAGTAAGAATATTACCACCAACAGAGGTCCTTAGACCCTTCTTTCTTCTCTATCAGCCCATTATCTGAAGACAATGTCATGTGCCTTCAGAGGCATTATTGATGGCGTATCATGACCTGCCCTAATCGCCAAGCAGGTCCTGAAATTTCCCTAACAGAAACAGTCTTTCATTCCATTCTCTTCCCTGCTGTGTCAGTGTATGAAGCCTTAGGGAACAAGCACCAGGAAACTGTCAGCTACCCAGCCAAGATTGGGGACCACGCTGCTAGAACAGGGCCCGCCGCTCTCCGGGAGGGCCGCATGCTGCTGAGCACCCCTCTGCTGAGTCACCACCAGAAGCATCCCCGCTCTTCTGTCTTTCAGAGGGAGATTCTCGTACCAACAGAGCTGCCCCCATCCCCTGAAATGACTAATTCCTCTGCTACCCCACCCCCAAGCCCTTGGGGGCACCAACAAACTCTTTAAGATCCTCACTGCTTCTAAGAATGTTCTACCTTCTGGCTTTCCAGAGAGGTGGGTGTGCCCTGGGGACACCAAATCCTAAGTAGATGCTGTTTTCCCCTCATGCCATGTGCCCAGGGCCAGGTGGTGCCCCTCCCCGCCCCCACCGTCACTCCCCGTTCAGCACTTCTCTCAGTGCGGAATCCCCTCAATCCTCTGCAAAGAGCTTGCTCCTGCTCTTAGCAAAAGCCACGCCCTGCACAGGCTTTGGACGCCATGTGGCCCCACCCCCAAGCCCAAGATGGTCACTCCAACCATCTCCTTTTCCTGCATCATCAACCAGTCTTTACCTCTCTGTAGGTCCATCCCCCAATAGCATGCAGACTCGTTCTATTTCATCTTCATCCTTTTTGATCCCCACATGTCCCTCTAGCAGGTGACACTATTTCTCTATAGCCCTGGTTATCTATACCAAGGCTTCTCAAACCTTAGCATAGACACAAATTACCTGGGAACCTTGTTAAAATGCATATTCTGATTCCATGGGGCAGGAGTGGAGCCCAAGATTCTGCACCACCAACCTCCACGATGCTGCTGCTGGCCCACCGGCCCCACTCTGGCAGCAAAGCCCTGTGTTCCCTCCCCTTGCTGCTTCCCTGATGACAGCCCTTCCAGTCTGGCTTCCTCCCCAGCAAAACCTCATGCAAACCGGTCTCATCAAGAAACCAATAAACTCCATGTTGCAAACTCCAATAAAAACGTTTATTTCTTTCTCCCTGCCCATCCCCTCCCTCTCCTCCTTTTAAAAATGAGCGTGTAGTGAATGTGATAAAATTTTGCCTGGAAAGGCAAAGATCCCCCTGGGCATCTCCCTCCAGGTCAGCCCCTCCGGCCTCTGCAGCACATGCTCCCAGGGCTGGGCTCCTCCAGCAGCTCTTTCTCTGGATGTCCGCCCGCTCCCTTCCTTTACCTGGCTCCCGAATGCCAGGACTCCTCACAGCCGTCTTAACCTTCTCCCTCTGCTCTCCCCTCGGTGATCTCGTCCACGCCAGCGACTTCCTGTGCAGCTCCCAAACTCTTCAAATGCGGCCTGGTCATTCTTCTGACCTCCAGACTCACAGCCCTCTGCCTACTGCCACCTCTCCCACACGGCAGTGGCTAGATCCGCATACTTACCATTCCCAAAACAGCACTCGTGAATCTCCCCCTTAGAATCTGCACCGTCTCCGCTAATCCACCTCTGGTCGTTACTAGAATAACCGGTCACATATGAGGCATCACTAAAAGCCAGAAACCTGGGAGTCATCTTTGATTCCCTTTGCCTCTCCCCCAACTCCACTTGTGACTAGTCCTGGAGGTAGAAGAGTAAGAAGCTAGGAGAATTCCTCGGCAAGTGGCATGGGGAAACTGAGAGAGACAGTTAAGTGGCTGAACAATTTATGGCCAGATAATAAATTGCAAGGTCTTATCTTCCCTAACCAAGGACACTCAGGAACAAATGGTTTACACATTCCAGACCCCACTCCCCATGACATTCTTTGAAGGTGAAACTGACCAGAGAAAGGACACACCTGGGAAGCTGATGAACATTCTACTGAGATTCTCCCGAGACCTCCCCTAAAATTCCTGCCTTTAGAAAGCAGATAAAAACTCTCAAGACAGAGGACCCAGTGCACGCTCTCCCGAGAGCACATCTACGCCTTGCCCCGCTTCTCTCCTCAGACATGTACGTTTGCTTTCTTTCTGCTGAGCTCAAAGGGTCCCCACAAGACTTGTAACCAGGGGAGCAGAGGACAGCAGTAGCTCATCCCAGACTAACCCCTTAACCCTGTCTCCAAGGGCCCTCCTTTTGCCCCTGTGTTTCCTGAGTCCACACAGCCCAGCTGGCTCACTTCTGACTCCGACTTTTCTTCTCAAGCGTCAAGGCAGCCTCACCTCGGCTGGACTCTCCAACGGCAGCTCCTCCTGGGCTCACTCCTGCTGCGATGGTCTTGCCTCTTCTACCTGAAGCCTTCCCTGTCTCACTGTCCCCAGCTTTAATAAACGTACTCTCAACGTCACCTGGACTTGAATCGTGAGATCTTTCCTGCAAAGTAAAAACCCATTTATTCCAGACCGTGCCAGGGCAGACCTGCCACGGTCCCAGTCCCTTTCCAGTGACAATTCTACTGATTCCATGTCCAAAATACACTTTAAATCCATCTGCTTCTTCCATCTCCTCTCCACACCCCAGCCCCAGCCGCCACCACTGAACAGCCACACTTCCTGACGGATTCTCAGTGCCACCTGAGCTGGCCCTCAACCTGTTCCCCACACAACCCCTGCTGCGAACTGTCGGAAAATGCAAATGAAAGTGTGCCGCCAGCTGGACGGCTCAGCTGGATGGAGCATCATCCCATACACCAAAAGGTTGTGCGTTCGATTCCCAGTCAGGACACATACCTAGGCTGTGGGTTTGGTTCTTGGTCGGGGTGCATATGGGAGGCAACAAAGTGATGTTTCTCTCTCTCCCTCTCTCTCAAATCAATAAAAGCATATCCTAGGGTGAAGATTAAAAAAAAAAAAAAAAAGCGTGCTTACAGCCCTTGAATGGCTCACCATGTATTCACCACGGCCCACAAGCCCCAACCCCAACGCCGACCATGCCCTGGCCAGCTCTGTCTCCCAGTCCCGGGCTATGCCAGATGCTCTGCTCCCTTTCCCACGCTCTCCCCTCCCACAGCGCCGCCTTCAGGAAGACCCGAAGCAAGGGGAAGCAAGGTACAGTTGCGAAACTGAAGAAAGGTCCTCGTGGCTGCCTGGAGCAGGAAGAAAAAGGCAGAGCCTGGTGTGAGATGAAACCAGAGGAAAGCAAGGGCCAGGTCATTCACCACCCAGTAGGCCCGTGGTTCATGGCTTTCAGCCTCTGCACTGAGAGCACTGGAAAGCCACTGACATGTTTCAGGCATAACTGGACTTGCAAGCTCAAAAGACCAGTGTAACTATAGTGTGGAAAAGCAGAGAGGTCTCGAGCAGATGTGAGACACCGCAGGCCAGGCAAGGGTGGCCTAGGGTATGACAGCAGGCCTGGGGAACACCACTAGATTTCATACTAAGAGGTTGCAATACTGTGATTTATAAGAAATATAGTTGATGTTGGGCCACAGTTCCTGGCTCGCAGCTCCCCAAACCCTTGGATGCCCTGAGTGACAAGAGCGACCGAAGCGTCTTTGTTATAATACTCGGTGGCTCCTCCTCAGTTCCTAAAAAGGCTTCTGAGCCACCACGGTGAAATGACTGTCCTTATTCCCAACAAGCCCCTTTCCTCCACAACTGGGTTTACTGTGCTAATGAGGTGACACTGGGAAAGTACCTAAGGATGAAGGCTGGTTGCCAGGGGAACCAACCTTGAACTGAGGGTTGGAACTTTCGGCCCCACCCCTGGTTCTGGGGAGCAGAGACGGGCTGGAGGCTCAATCAGTCACCAGCGGCCAATGATTTAATCAATCATGACTACTAATGAAGCCTCCATAAAGACCAGGGGAGTTTCAGAGAGTGTCCAGGTTGGGGAACCAGAACGCCCCCCATGCCACCATGCTGTACCCCAGACTCCGAGAGGACAGAAGCTCCTTTGCTTGGGACCTCACGCTATGTGTCTCTTCATCTGCCTGTTGCTTCGTATCCTTTAATATCCTTTGTCACAAATCAGTAATCTAGTGAGTAAACCAGCTTCCTGACTTCTGTGAGCTGCTCAGCAAATTAATCGAGCCCAAGGAAGGAGTTGTGGGACCCTCTGATTTATGGTCAGTCGTGGTCAGAAACGTTCAGGTATCAACCTGAACTGGAGACTGGCATCTGAAATCCAAGGAGGGGTCATGGGACCTCTGACCCGCAGCCAGTTGGTCAGGAGCACAGGTGTCGTCAGAGCTCACAGCTGGCCTCTGGGGTGGACGCGGTCATGGCACTGAGCCCTGCCCGCGGGACCTGATGCTGTCTCTGGACAGGCTGCGTCAGAACTGGGTTGAACTGCAGGACACCCAGCTGCTATCTGAGAACTGTGTGGTGTCATGGAGATTCCTACCCGCTACACACACACCACACTGGAACTGAGTATAAAACTTAAGTTTAAAAAACAAAATGGCAGAACCTACTGAACAGATATAACTTGAGATGTTTTTTAAAGGCTTACTATTCGAGCCCTGGCCAGTTTGGCTCAGCGGTTAGAGCGTCGGCCTGCAGTCCCAAGAGGCCCGGGTTCAGTTCCCACTAGGGGCATGTACCTCAGGTGCAGTTTGTCCCCAGCCCTGGTTTGGGTCGTGCGGATAGCAGCCATTCGGTATGTCCCTTTCACATCGATGTTTCTCTCTCTCTCTCTTCCTCCCTTTCCCTCCCACTCTATCTGAACAAAAAAAATGGAAAAATGTCCTCGGGTGAGCATAAAAAAATAAATTAAATAAATAAATAAAAGGCTTACTATTCGAGTAGACGTACCATGTTAGCTAAAAGCCTCTCCTGATAACAGGATAAATGAATTCACAATAAAAAACTGGCCACCAATCCTTTCCTGTTTTTATGGGGATGAGGGTGGGGAGGGGAAGGAAGGGAATGATGGAAGAGGTAGGATGAAAGAAAAAAAAGATACTGAGCTCATAAATAAGGGCGGCGAATGGGAAAAGGGCCCAAAATAGGAAGAACGGAAATCAAATTGTGCTGACTTTTCCAGTCTGCCTAATGGTGACTCTAACCATTTTCAACTGGGTCAGGATGAACAAACATGATTCTCAGAAGATTCCATTATCTGAAGTTACAGTTTAACATGATTTATGAACTCTCATTATAAATATGCTGGATTCAAAGGATAAGTTACATGAAAATATTAGTCACAGAATCTTTAGAGATGGAAGGAAACAGAGAGGTCATTTAATGAGGCTTCAAGCTCAAGATGCCTAAACTCTTCTCTTCACCGACAGTCACTTCAGAAAGATTTCCCTGGCTGGTTTGGCTCAGCAGTTAGAGCGTCAGCCTGCGGTCCAGAGAGTCCTGGGTTTGGTTCCCGCTAAGGGCATGTACCTTGGTTGCGGTTTGTCCCCAGCCCCGGTTGGGTCATGCGGGTGGCAGCCACTTGATGTGTCCCTGTCACATCGATGTTTCTCTCTTTCTTCCTCTCTCTCCCTCCCACTCTATCTGAACAAAAACAGAAAAAATGTCCTCGGGTGAAGATAAAAATAAAGAAAGAAAGAAAGAAAGAAAGAATAAAGCCCCTCTATCCAGGTGGATAATTAAAATGTATCAGGGTTTCAAAAAAGAAATTAAGATTTGCCAAGCAAATAAATGCATCCACAGATTTAAAATAACGGGGTGGGGGTTTGATTTAGGTTCACCAAGATTTTTTTCAGTTACTTTGCCAGTGAGTTTTATTCTTAAAAATATACAGATGGCCCTGGCTGGTTTGGCGTCAGCCCAAGAACCAAAGAGTCCGGGTTCGATTCCGGCCAAGGGCACGTACCTTGGTTTTGGTTCATCCCCGGCCCCGACGGGGGTCATGCAGGAGGCAACCAACTGATGTGTCTCTTTCACATCAATATTTCTCTCTCTCTCATTGATGTTTCTCTCTCTCTCTTTCTTCCTCCCTCTCTCCCTCTCGCTCTATCTGAAGATAAATGGAAAAATATCGAGTGAGGATTAAAAAAAAAAAAAACTAACAAACTTGAAATTGAGACCTGGCTGGCATTTTGCAGTTGCTATAGTAACCACATACTTTGTAGTTTTGATACTCAGCTTCCACACTCTCTTCATCTTTCTTTCCACTCTCACCCAACCAGAAGCTCATGCACCCTCTGGCCTACTGCCCCCACTTTTGAAACATCTAAGAATATGTACACATACACACCCATACTTGTATTCCTGGATAGCAAAATAAGAGGAGCTAAAGGAGACAGCTCAAGGTCAAGTATTATCTCCAAGGCCAGATTATTTATCTGGTATCGGGTAGATCTGTGGGTCTGGGCCAAGCAGATAGTTGATGCTCAATAAACGACAGTTTCCCTCCTTCTCCTTATCCACCCACGCCCTCCACATGAGTTCCATTTCCTCTGGTACTCTGGCTCTCTGATTCAGACTTATCCTCAACCACATGAATTCACTTAAAAAGAAAAGACAAATCCAGGTGTCCGTCCGTACATCAGGGCGGGGGCTGCGTGTTTAGAAGTACTTGGAGCCCATGAAAGCGGGACTCTTGCACATCTTGAGATAAATACACTGGAAATGTTACAGGAATTTACCAAGATCTCTTCCAGCACTGTAGTTCTGGATTGTTATACTGTCTCCAAATTTAGCTTTTAGAAAAGGTTTCCAATTATGTTTCCAAATTCGATGACTGCCTAAGAATTTAGAAACTGAATGCAAAGAGATATTGTGAGGTTGGGTGATGTGACAAAAAGGACTGTCTCAACTCTGGTTTAAAAATTCCATTCTCACCCTGGGTGGTTTTGCTCAGTGGTTAGAGCGTCAGCCCATGGACAGAGAGACCTGGGTTCGGTTCCTGCTAAGGGCACGTACCTCGGTGCAGTTTGTCCCCAGCCCCGGTTAGGGGTGTGTGAGGCGATCACTCACTGTGTCTCTCTCACATCGATGTTTCTCTATCTCTCTTCCTCCCTCTCTCCCTCCCTCTCTATCTGAAGATAAATGCAAAAATGTCCTCGGATGAGGATAAAAAAATAAATAAAAAAAAAAAAAATTCCATTCTCAAGCCATCTTCAGCCAAGGCAAGAACTTTGAAGAATTAAGGCAAGAATTTAAAACTCTTCCACTTCTTCCACCTTCTACCAAGACCCATTTAGATCCCGTTTGAGACTCTAATTCTTATTTTCCCGTCTTTGTGTGTCTAGGTCCCATATCCCCGAAAGATATCTAATAACTTATACCCCACTTTCCTCCACATAAATCCTGGGAAAGTTCTACTGCTCAGGACAGGGAAAGCGTGCTGAGTTCTCAGATAAGCACACCACTTTTCCAATGAGATATAAAGTGAATAGAAAAGGAAGGAAAGACCCAGTTGTGGTCAAAACAAAGTAGACCAGCTGACTCGACTAAAACCACACACAGGAAATTTAGTATATCCTTGGCCTTATTCCCACCCCTACCTCCATCCCACCCACCCACCCCCACCACAAAGAAGGCCTTAAACATTCCTTACTTCACTTAATCCTAACAAGTAGGATAAGTATTATCACCTTTTTACAGCTGTGGACTCTGCTGCACAGAGGTGAAACCCTTACTCAAGATCATACCACTAATAAAGTTGCAGAACTGGCATCAAACCTAGGTCTTCACACCCTGCCCTCCAGTTCTTTCCAGTATTCAACACAGTCATCCCATTGCTGGGATCTTCGATATTCTCATTCTACCGTGCCAGGGTTAGGAAGCATTGCCTTAACCTGCTTCAAGCTTTGACATCCCAGAATCTCGGAGCTCTGCTTAGAGCGTGGCTCATTTACACATCTAAAAGACACACTGTCCCTTCTGATAACCAGCACCCACTATCTATCCCCAAAACTTAACAAAAAGAAATGAGGTTAGGAAACTAGGACAAAGCAAAAAGTTCACTGTTCTACAAGGGTTGAAATCAAGGCACAGATGACAAATGAACAAGCAGCCAAGCCTCTTCCATTGGCAATTCTAAATCAGTCCACCAAACACAAGAGCTTCTCCCCATAAGATGCACCGATAACAACATCAAAGTTATGTTTCCAATATTCATCTGAAAATTAGCCCAGAAAGGACACTGCTCAAACAAGCAGCCTGGGCGGGGCCATCTCTGCCACTAGCAGTTCTGAACCAACCACGGATAAACTTATATTCTTATAAGAAGGCAAGAAGAGGGCTGTTGAAGCCCGGTCCAGGCAAACAGTTCAAGTCCATGGTGCCACATTCCGAGCCACCCCTACCAGAAAGAAACTACAGGGAAGGGTGGGGAGGGTGCAAAGAAACTTCATTCTCATTTGCAAGACAGGACCAAAACCAGAACAAACTACTTTTGGAACATGGCCCCTGCTCAGTCCATGTACGAGTTCTTAAGGTACTGGGAAGTTTGCAACACTTGAGCTCTTACCCTGCCCACGGCGGCAACTAAGGGACTGAGGAAGTGGCCCATCCACGGGCTGGAGGCCCGAAAGGGCAGGAAGTGGAAGCAGAAGCCATTTGTGGGAAAAGGGAAGGAGCGGTGAAAAGGGAGAGGCTGGGGCGCCGCCCCCATTTCCTCAGCTCCAAACCGGTCTAGGAGGCCCGGAGGCTTTCTCCAGGGGACCTCCCCGAGCCGCTGCTCCCGCGTCGCCCTGCACCGGCACCGAGGTGCGACGTGTCCGGCCGCCGGCCACAGCCCTGCGCGGAGAGCGTGGGGGCAGGAGGGCGCCGGGTGGCGCACCCCACTTCCCCAGCCCGCACCCCACCCCACCCCGAGGGGTCTGTCGGGCCCGGACATTCTCACCTGGGACCCGTCCGGCGCCGCCTCTGCCGTCCGTCACAGGCACGCTGCTCTTAAACCCGCCCCGCCCTCTCCTCGGCCTCCTCCTGGGGCCGGACCCCAGCAGTCCCCAGCCGATTTGTCATTGAGCAGCCAGGGATCGCTTCCCCACCCCTAAGCGCGCCCCCGGCGTTGCCCAGGCAACCCCTCCCCTCGAGAGCGCGCCCTCCCTTCCGCTCCCACCCCTGGAGGCCACGCCCACTGGGCGACTATTAGCCAATCTGAAGCGGAGCTTTCAAGCCTCAGGAGGCTGGGAAGTACGCTTCGCCAATGATAAGCCGCCTCAGGAGGGAGGGGCGGGCTCGGCACGCTGGCCCCGCCCCCTCCATTTCCTCCTCTTGGCGGCAGAGGCGCTGCACGTGACCGATGCTGCAGTGGAGGATCGTGGAGCCAGTCTGGGCTGTGGGTGTGGACGTGCGGGGGTTGCTCTCGTAGTGCATGTAGGTAAGGGCGAGGCAGAGTAGTGGAAAGCAAAAGGGAAGCACATACTTGAGGTAGAAAACTAAGGAAAAGTACGCTGCAGCGCGGGTGTCGAAGGGTCCGGGGTCTGCGAGAAGCGACCTCCGTCTGCCGCCACCACTCGCTTGGCTAATGACGTCCCATAAGCAGTAATGGAGTTTCTTGACCAATACCTGTCAATATTTGACCCAGTCCAAGAGGTCAAGAGTCCGAACCCCAGAGCTAGCCTTGTTGCAGGAAGTGCAGTGGGAAAGCTCATGGCCAACAGGTTTTTCTCCCAGAACCTGCCCCTGTCCTCCAAAGCCCGGGAACTTGTAAGTCTGCAACCAAATAGGGCTTCACCTCAGGTTGATGTTCACAACTAACCGTTTGTTTCTAGAGCTGAAGCCTCCCTCCACGCCTCTGCAGGGTTTGTGGTCCCACAGACCCCTACACAAACCTCATGGCACAACACACTGTATTGCAATTAACTGTTAAATATCTGCCTTTGTAATCTCTGGGGAAGGAAACTAGTTCTTGTTCAATTTTATATCCACAGCAGCTAGTACCATGTAATTAATTCTTTCAGTGTTGATAATTATACATTAGGATACATGTGTAT